GATTTTCAAAGCAGTGGGTAATGGTGTGCCAATTACGATTCTTACAAGCATTCCCAAGACTGCTCATAAAGCAAGCAAATATCACACAACTTAATCCCTTCCTTCCAACTGCAGTCTTACTCCTTAGTATAAACACACACACACACACACACACACACACACACACACACACGCACAATCCCTCAGATGTAACAATATCGTTACCCATCAGAGGCACACCCTTTGAAAGCCATCTGCTTCTGGAAACCACGGGAACATATGCAGAGGAACTAGTTATGGAAACAGCCAAGAGAGTTATATTACTACAGGTGGGGACGTACCAACACGACCTGTAACCTAAGCCTTAGTTCTGGCCCCAAAAAACTTGCTAAATGGGAGCTATATGATACAGCGGTAGAGAGTGTGAGCTCTAAAATCAAGCACATCTGGATTCAAATTCTGGCTCTTCTATTATTCATTTTGTAATCATAAGCAGTAAATGAATGTCTTCACAATTCAGTTTCAACTAAGTCCAAATATAGTATCACAATAAATGAATTAACTTGAAATATAACTGACAAATAAGTTATACACATCAACACTGTACAGCAGCACTGGAATACTGTTTTAAAGCAATACTCTAGTTTAAAATTGAAAGCATTAAGTGCTAAATTCAAGAAACTAGAAAGACAATAAATTCAAATGAAGAAGGAGCTATAAAATGATTACCTGTGGTGGTCATGAGAGGAATACAAGTGAGAGAGGGGGCACACAGTAAATACTTCTGCAATGCTTTAATTTCTTAAACTGGAAGTAAGAACACAAACACTGTGTTCTCCATTAATTTTTATGTCAATTTCATGAAAAACATCTGACATTCCTTAGAATGGCAAAAGGCCTGGTAATATCAATTCTTAAAAAACCAAATTCTCATCCCCTGCTAATCAGAGTGTACATTATTTCAGTTAGAAGAGTAGTATATATGCCAGAGTTCATATCATGAGACTAGATATTGACTTACCCTAAAGAAATTAATGTCTAAAGGAGACATCCTTTAACAGCAAAAAGCTAGAAACAACTTAATATCCAGAAAAACAAATATATAATACACTGCGCTACATAGATTCTTCCATCACCTATCAGCAAGGATCCAGTTCACCCAAAAGTCCCCTGTTCAAAAACAGCAAGCTGAGCAGAGAATGGTGGTATGCGCCTGTGATCCCAAACACTCTAGGAGCCCGAGGCAAAAGGATCACAAGTTCTATTTAAGGTCATGTGAGCCACTTAGCAAGCTCTTCTCTCAAAAATCAAACAAACAAATAGTGGGGGATTTAATTCGGACCCTGAGTTGAATCATTTAATTACAGAGAACCGAGAAAGACAGAGACAACTCACGCGCGCGCGCGCACACACACACACACACACACACACACACACACACACACACACACAGGCTGCCTGTAACCCCAGCATTCTGGAAGGCTCAGGCAGGACGATGTCAAGTTCAAGCTTAGCCTGGAAAACTCAGTGACTTTGTGGGACCCTGACTCAATTTTTAAGAAAGGGCTGGGGGGTGTAGCTCAGCAGAATTCCCAAGGTTCAATCCCCAGGACTGCAAAGTAAAAAGGACCAAAGAGCAGCAGGTATCAATCTTCAGGCATTAGCTATTCATGGATATAAACATATGCACCAAAGATACAGAAACAAAGCATAGCAAATTACACACCAAATTCTTGATTAAGACTAATAAGAGATGCTGTGGAACTTTAACTTCATGAGTAAAGTCATGGGTGCTTTTTTCTTAGAACGTGTGAAATGTGGGGCTGGGGATTTAGCACAGTAGCACTGCGCCTGCCTCACCAAGCACAAAGTTCCAAGTTTGATCCCTGGGGGCTGGTGGGGGGGAATCACTTCTTGGCCTTTTGGTTAAGATCAAATGTGTGAAATGTGTCTTTAAAAAATACTAGTATGTTAATTCTACATACAACACACACATATTTTTGGTATATTATTTGTAGGGGCTTTTTTTGATGGTAGTTGTTTTGTTTTGAGACAGGGTCTCGCTACATAGCTCAAACTGGCCTTGAATTCACTGCGACCCAGACTGGCCTTGAACTCTTAGCAATCCTCCTGCCTCAGCCTCCTGAGTGCTGGGATTACAGGAATGCACCACCATGCCTGGCTATTTGTAGTTTTTAACACTATAATTTTTTTTAAATATCCATTTCATTTTTGTGTGAATTACATTATTTATTTCATATAGTAGTAGTAGACCTGGGACCTAATGTAACTTCTAAACTGTGAGTTTTCCTTATCATCAAACAAAGTAAGTATTCAGGTAGACATTCTGTAGGCAATTCTGCCCTTGCATGTGTTTCAGAAAAAAAGTGAGAAAGATGACTATCTGAGACAAGCACCATTAGCTATCCTCCATTTGTCCTTCAGATTTTGGTTGAGAGTACACCTTCTCTCAGATTCTCAAAACTGCATCAGTTAAGTGTTAATCACTTTTAACACGTAATTTGATTTATCTCCCTCTTTCATTTTTCTTTTCTATGAACATACTATCTGTTTTACATTTACAAAACTACAGTCATGCTATAATTTTGATTCCTCTTTTTTCCCACTCATACACATATTTCTCCAGGGCCAAATAAATCTCCAGGGATTTAGCTCAGTGGTTCCACCACCTGCCTCTCAAGAGCAAGGAATTGAATTCGAAACCTGGGATCCCTGTGGAAAAAAAAAAAAAAAAAAAAAAAAAAAAATTGTCCAATTCAGTAAGTGTTCCTAAAAACAGGATTTTAGATGTTTTTCAATGGCACAGTATTCCATCCTATGGAATGTATGTACCATAATTGTGAAAGTACCATAACATGAACAATCACCTGCACCTGAGCATTTAAAGTAATCCAGGTTTCTTTTTGCATTGTTTTGTTTTTTACAATTATAAGTACTATGTTTGGGAAAATTCTTGAATATACTTGTCTTTAATCTTCAATTATTATTTGTACCAGATTCTTAAAAGAGAAATTTACTGGGTAAAAGATTTGAATTTTAAAAATTCTTCATACATACTGCATTCGAGAAAAATTACACCAATTTATGAATCTACCATCATTATTACCATTCTTTCATCATGAATACAATATTAACCAAAAGCCAGAGACAGAGCCTGAAATCCAAAAATGTTTCCCTTTGAAAACAAGGAGCTGATTATTCACATTCAGATTCTAACCTGAAAAGTGAAGAGGGGACACCTGAGAACCCTGCTCTGCAACTGTCCATCCCAGCCACAATAAACAAGCCTTTTCCCCCGAACACCACCCACTGCTTACCTAGGATCCTATGCACACTGTTCTCTCAGCTGGAACAGCTCCACTCACCCTGCTGCTGCCTTTTCCCTCCAGAACTTTTCAGAGCCCCAGTCTAAATTACTCTTCCACTCTGCTTTGACAAGGCCCTCAGCTTACCCTCCATTAGAACTCATTTCATCCAGTGAATTGTAATTAATGATCTTTCCCCTAAACTGCACAATGAGTTTCTCCAGGGAAAAAACACCACTTCATTCCCTGCTATCCTCAGCACCTTCCAAAATATTTGGGAGATAGCGAGCATGAAGAAAAATTTATTGAATGAATTAGTCAATCACAAAGCAGAAAGTCTAGAGAGGAAGCCTGGCAAACTGTCTGTAAAGGGCCAGACAGCAAATATTTAAGACCGTATCATCTCTATCACAACTACTCAACTCTGCAGCTGTAGGCAACACTTAAACGAATGGTAATGAGACTGACCTGGAACTCACTATGTAGTCCAAGCTGGTCTTGAACTCATACCAAGCCTCCTGCTCAGCCTCCCAAGTGCTGGGATTACAGGTGTGCACCACATAGTTGTGTTTTAATATAATTTTATTAGCAAAAGCAGGTGGTACGTCACATTTGGCCCATGAGCTACAGTCTGCAAATCCCTAGTTTAAAGGATGGGTCTCTAAATTTTAAAAAGGGAAGAAAAATAAAGGAGATGAACAGATCACAGAGACTTAGTTCTTTAAATCTATGTAAAGTTTAGGCAAAATTTTACCTACACAAGTCAGTTACTATCATTTGGTACTTTGAGTTGGTCTATACTGCTCTGAGTAAGAGGAAGGACAATAGCTGAAGAGTACAGTATGGCATGCTAAGAGGGAAGCTCAAAACAAGGTGTTAGGCCTTCATCACAGAAAAAAGGACTAGTCAGATATAAAAAGAAGCAGAGAATTAGGCACGGTGGTGCACTTCTGTAGTCCTAGATATTCAGGAGGCTGAGGCCAGAGGATCACTTGAACCTAGGAACTCAAGGCCAGCTTGGGCAACAATGTGAGAAAAAGAAAAAAGGAATAAAGGTAGCAAGGGAGGGAAGGAGGGAGGAAAGGAGGGGCAGGGATGGGACTTGACAGAAATTATAATCTTGTACAGACATCTTTAAATGACTGACCACAGATAAACCTGGGTTAGACACACAGACCATCATGAAAACGGATTAAAGATATGCATGGTAAATAGGTCAGAATTTCATTATGCTTTGAGATCATGCATCAAAATAATGTATGTGTTTGAATGACAACATTCAATGACAGAATGAGTAGGTGGGTGCAAAAACAAAACTTCTCATTGCTGATGCTTTCTTATCTCTGAGTCCACATGACAGCTTTCCCTCTCCTCAAGCCTCCTGACCATGACTCTCTAATGTAAGCTCCTTTAGCTGTGGCAAAAGGAGGACTCAAAGCCGGGCGTGGTGGCGCATGCCTGTAATCCCAGCACTCGGGAGGCTGAGGCAGGAGGATCACTGTGAGTTCGAGACCAGCCTGGGCTACATAGTGAGTTCCAGGTCAGTCTCAACTACATAGTGAGACCCTATCTCAAAAAAACAAACAAAAAAAAAACCAAGGAGGACTCAAGACTGAGCATGCATGGGTCATGAGAGCCCACACTCTATAAAATGCATGCACTTTGACAAGTTAGTATATTTCATCAGAGCCTTACTTTTCATGGTCCCTTCCCCCTCCTCATCTTCTGCATTGATCACCATGGTGCCCAGCTGCGATGGCAACGTATCATCATGCTCAATCATAGTATTGGCTCCATCGCTCATGGTGCTGGCTACTCGGACAGTGCCCATCTCCTCACCCACTGCTCGAACCATTGTGCCAGAATCCATTTCATCTTCTTCCTGTAAAAGGACAGTCTCAAATCAGGGCTAATTTGATCATATGCCTTTGAATCTCTGAATTATGAATTACTGTTCCTGAATTATGGCTATCTTAATTACTAATACTTATCTTGGTTCAAATATTTCTGGATTTGACACTTCTTCTGGCTCTAAACTCATACTGCAGAACTGCAAGTATTCTTATTTAACCAAGGAAGACCATACGTTTACCCATGAGAGAGCAGCATATCAAACCTAAAGGATCCTCTTCCTCACCTATTCTCATTAGTTTTTGCAAGACAGATCTTAGAAGCGGACATGAGCACCCTTGGATTCTCAAGTGTGAGAAGAAGACTGTATATGTAAAAGCTACATGTTAAGTATAGATCCTAGATTTTCCAAATGGACTTGGAAAAACTAAGTCTCAGATCTGAGCATTCTTTCTTTCTCAAATAAAAAGTAAAACTAATCAGAAAATATGTAGGGAACAGAGTAAAATTTAAAAGAGTTTTAGAAAGCACCAGGGGAAGAACAAGTGCAGACTCAGAAATAATCCAGCAAGTCTAGGTCCAGGTCACGCAGGAAGAATTTTCAGCTGCAAGCGGATCCAGTATCACCTCACCTGTATTGACAATCATGAAATAGCAAGCATTAATGCCTGAGGATCCCAGAAAAGCTTGCCACTCACTGAGTTTTCTTCATCATCCTGGTCCACTTCCCGCTGCTGGGCTTCCTGACGTTTCAGTTTCACATCCATGGCTTCATTAATTAAGTCCCGCAGTATTGATACTCCTTTGGCACTCTTGACAAACGGGTGCTTAAATAAGAAGTGGAAACACTGGAGATAGCTTACATGGTGACAGAGCCAAACAGTTCCTGGCATACAGTAAGTAGCTGATATCTGCCTTAATCAATAAATAAACTATATTCACTTTATAACTCTGAGCAGAGAAGTACATATTCAGATTTTGCCCACTTTTTCAGCCTGGCTGGAATGCCTATGCCATTTCTTCTGTCAAATCTACAGATTTTCAACAAGGTGCTATCACCTCCTAGGCTAAGTTTTGTAAATATGTTGGGAGCCTGTTGCTACAGTGTTTGGAGAGCACACATAGCACGGGGTGGGAAGCAGGGATGCTAGCAATCTTGTGAAGCATGAAATGGTCCTGCACGCACGGCAAACAACTGTGGTGTATTCTGCACACCTTTCAAATGTCTTACAGTACATGTTACACTTGTAACAACACTGATTATTTTTAAGAGATACGAAAAATGTCTAGTGACTTGAGGAGGTGATTTTGCAGAGGGGAGCTTAAAGACATTGTTCTGACATCACTGCATAATTTATTCATCCCACTTACCCTTCTATACTATGTATTATAGCATTTCCAACTACATATTTAGGCAAAAAGGATTTTAGTATGAAAACACGGTCACTAAAACTGAACATAAATACCTAACAAACGTAGACTCAAGTATTATTCAATCAGCAAAGACACCTGAAGCAGAGGAACACTGCTCAATTTCCTTAATAAAAATTACTGCCATTATTTTTTTTAATAGTACTATCTTATTTTGTGTTTATAGCACGATGATAAAAAAAATCTCTGCTGTAAAAACTGCACATGTAAATTCTTCTGTTTGGGAGTTGCCTGTTGTTTTTAAAAATACTCTGATATGGTCCTGTGTTTCTTCTTTGCAATGCACTTTCCCCTTTTTTTTGGTACCAGGGATTGAACTCAGGCCCTTGCGCTTGCAAGGAAGGGGGTGGAAAACGAGCCAAATCCCCGGCCCTGTAATCTACTTTCTATTCTCCACCATGTGTCAGAGGATAAGGTCTCCAAGGCCTTCTAAGTGTTCTGCAGAGATTAAAAAGATATGTGGTACAGTATAGGAGATATTTTTCCATAAACTCTTATTACCCCATCTAGGCAGGAAAAGAATTTAGTAAGACTGTTGTCATTTAAGTTGCTGAAAGCATCCTCTAGTCAACAGCTGAGCGAAATGGAGGGCAGTAGGGTAGGGTGACTCATACCTGCAGGAGCTGAGTGGCTGTGGCTCTCTGCTCAGGGCTCTTCACAAGACACTGTTTCACAAAATCCATGAAGTTATCTGACCACAGCTCTGGCTTTCGGAATGTGGGAGGAGGGTTTGTTGGAATCATGAAGATTGCCTAGTTAAAAAAATTTTTTTGGTAAAATAAAAAAAGTGATGCAGCAATAAAAAATACAGCCAAAATATAATACAAAAATATAATTTACATTTGAAGCTTGGTAAAATGATTTTTTTTCTTATCCAGGTTTCACCCCAAGTCTCAACATCTTAAATATGACAACTAGAGGACTTGATATATTTCTCTCCTTCTCTTTCCCTCTCTTGTATGTAGTGCTTTCCCCTAAACCTTGCAGTATCAATGAAGCTTTTCATTTTCATTTTTTTAATACTAAATATATTACATGGCCTTTCAAAGTGGAAAGGCAACACCTACAAGTACCCATATACTGAAGATAACCTCACTGCGGTCTAATTTCCTGCCTCCTTCAAGGTCACCACCACTCTAGAAGGAGGTCATCAACCAGAAATCTCAAAATCAAAAGGTAAACGCCAAGCCAAGACAAGTCAAAAATTTTTGGGAAAAAAAGACAATTAAAAATCATTCCACTGTATCAAAAAGCACTTCAAAAAGATGCTTAAAGGAATTGCAGTTTTTGAAAGATTAAAACACTTTGCAATAAGCACCTTAAATTATATCCTTTAAATCTAAAAATATAACCAGTAAACCCTTCACTCTTCTCAACTTCTGTATAAGAGGGAAGCTTATCTTTGGGCACAGGAATACTTAAAAAAGAGGTTCAAGTCTTGCAATGGGAGAATGAATTAATTACAGACAAGAGGAAATGCTGGTTTGGAGAGTTATGCAAAGAGCTGTGGAGCTCCTGAGGAAGGCAAAGTTGCGGTCTTTTAATAGTGCTGTTACAAGGAGTTCTACAGATGGCAAAAGTCTGAGAACTAGGGTGTCAACACTGTAGGAGTTTCAGAGGAGATGAAGCCTATGTGACCTTAACAATGAAAAGTAGATGGAGGCTCGAGAGAAAAGAGTCTACAAAAGTCTGGGGTCTACAATCCAGTATTTACAAATTCTAGTACCTATGGAGGCCAGAAGGGAAAAAGATAACAAATGAATCAAACTAGATGTTATTGACATGAATTCAAATAAGGTATTACAGAAACACTAATAAATGATATCTGGTACTTAGTAATACAATAAGGAAGCATAGGAACTACGTGGAAAGCTCTTAAAGGAGACAACCCCTACTCAGCTCAAGTTAGCTCATGTTAAAATTTAGGTGCCTAAAGTTTGTTTGTTTTGTACCAGGGATTGAACTCAGGACCTTGCACTTGCCAGGCAGGTGTGCTACCACTGAGCTAAATCCCCAGTCCCTATGTCTAAAGTATAAAAGCATATTTAATTGTACAACTTAAACTAAAGATTTCTGTACCCTATATCCTGCCAGAGGGCTATTACCATACAACTTACTAGAATGGAGACAGGCAGATTGCACTCTATTAGTGATTATAAGCAGTCAGTGGAACTATACCATACGGTGACACTTAACAATTATAGACAGTTAATTTAGTGTTTGGAACTTTACCAACTACACCACTGAACTAACTTTGTAAAGCTGATCAATAACTAACCCCAGCGATTCTCCATCTATTTCCTTACCCTCATTGGATGGATATCAGCATATGGGGGCTTTCCTTCAGCCATTTCTATGGCAGTTATTCCTAGAGACCAGATGTCTGCCACACAATTATACCCAATTTCCTGAATCACTTCTGGAGCCATCCAAAATGGTGTTCCTATTACCGTATTCCTCTTGGCCATGGTATCCTAAAATAGAAAGAGGAGAGACTAAGCATTTTAACTACCAACAAAAAGAGATTTTTTTCCAACAGTAAAAATATCTTGAACTTAAAAATCTGTATAAAAACCATGACCAAGAATTCACAAGAGAATTTCAAATGACCATGAAACAAAAAGATTCTTAATCAATTGTTAAATACAAGATAAGATAAAATTTTAAATAACTGGCACTAATAATAGCATATAAGCTGGGTGTGGTGATGCACACACACACACATATATATGTATATCTGTATATGTATATATGTATATGTAATCCCAGCACTCAGGAGACTGAGGCAGAGGATCAATGCAAATTCAAGGCCAGACTGAGCTACCCAGTGAGTTCAAGGCCAATCTGAACTATATAGCAAGACTCTGTCTCAAAAACAAACAAACAAACAAAGAAACAAAACGCAAAATAAATGAATAAATGAATGATAACAGCATACAAAACCAGGCCCTGAAATACAGTGTCAATGGAGTATAAATTTTGGTACTCTATTCAGCAGGCACAATGCAACATTCACTAAATCTTTAAATGTACATATCCTTTGATCAAAATCTACTTGTAGAAATTTGTCTTATGTGGAAATGCCCTAAGACATACGCACATGGATTGTAGCAATGTTTATAATTGAGGGAAGAGACAAGGAAACAATTCAAATGATCCACTATCATGGGTCATTTGTTACATTACTGTAGTCTCATACTGAAACATCATGTTAAAAAGGAGAAAAAAAAAGGGGGACTGAGAACCCCTGGAAGTGTAGCTCAGCAGTGGAGCAATTATCTGGCATGTGCTAGGCTTTCAGTTCAATCCTTAGCACCAAAAAACAACATAACACATACACACACACACACACACACACACACACGCACACACACAGAAAAAAAGACACATACTTTTTTTTTCCACTGTGAAAAAAACATGTGATATGTTATAAAGCAAAAAAATTGGGTTGTACCCTAATGGTATAATTGACAATGTGAAATAGGAAGAAAAGGGCTAAAGGTGTAGAGGAAGTGGGAAAGGTAGGGGAAAGGAAGTAAGGGAAAAGAAAAAAATATGAGAAAATAAAAAATGAACATAAAGTATTTGTAAATAGGGAAGGGAGGAAGGGATAAAGGAAGGGCAGGGGTAAGGGGAAAAAATGAGAAAAGACCTGTTATGTAAAGGTACAAGATCCCAACGATGAATATAACTGTACTGTATAGCTAAAATGTACCAATAAACTCAATGAGGAAAAAAAATTGGGTTGCAAAACTATATGTAATATAGCCTTATTTTTGTAAACAGAAAATACAAATAACCTAATAAAACAATAATCAATAATAAGAAAAAAAGTTAGAGCATAACAAATAGAAAACCTTGAGTAATATACAGCAAGCCATGAACAGTAGTTATATATCTAGAAGGCAGAATCACTACAGACTTTTATTTTCTATACTTCTATAACACTATGATGACACATGTATTACATGAGCAATCAGGAAAACATATTCAAGTTTATAGATATAGCTGGGTCTTGGTGGTACAAGTATGTGATGCCAGCACTCGGGAGACTGAGGCAGGAGAATCGAAAGTTCAAAGCCAGCCTGGGTCACATAGGGAAGGCAAGCCAGCATGGACATAGTGAGACCCTGTCTCAAAAAAAAAAATACATATAAAAAATGATATGTAAAAAAGTTTTAATCTGTGGCTGAAAGAACATGTGGACACAGTACACATTACAGCAAATAATTACTTGCACATTTTTCCAGAATGGCACAGTCCTACTTTTTTAAACAGAACTAAAGATAAAAAAGGACTTTCCATCTTCATCATTCATGTTTGGTCCTTCTGAAATGCCTATGGCTTAATTAGGTTATGCCAGTTAAGAGTAAATGACAGGTTAAAAAAAAAAAGAGTAAATGATAGGTAACATTTCTGAACTGATCTCTCTCCATCCATCCTATGTAAAAACTTAACATAGGAAATAGCTTACCGCTTAGTCATTTCCTTAGTTCTGAAACTTCAAATTTGCAAGGGCGTTTTCATATGACGGTAGTCAACTTAGGTTTCACTAGATTATTTCAATTAGAAATAGATACATACTTGGATAGCTACAAATTTTTGAGACTTAAATGAGTAGATACTAATACCACATACATTTTTATTATAAAGTTATATTAGTATGTATAATAGTAGAGCAACAGAAAAATAGCCCAGAAACACTGTGGCACATGTACATACACACATTATGTAACAGACATTCTTAATTTAATATTATACTTTTATATAGCATCAGAAAACTAATATTGTTTGATACGGTTTAATGATTACCAACAATATGTGAAGAGTCCACAAACCACCTGGATAAGCTTCTAAGTTTTTTAGAACATCAAAACAAATTTCTGTCTGTTGTAATATAAGACTCCCTAACATGTCCCAAACAGATTTTAAAGTAAAAAATAAAACTATACATAACCAATTCTAAAATCCTTCTAATACATAGTTATGTATAGTTATATATAGATATACATATAAATATATATATACATACATAGTTACATACACACATGTGTGTATATCATTTCTACTCATTGATGTATAACATGGTTGTAAATTTTAATGTACACCTGTCTACAACTATTTCTGGTTTTTTCTATATACTTTCCTGGATTCTTGAGTATTTTACAAAACCAAATAAATTCTTGACTTCCTATTTTGAATTTTTTTTTCTCTTTTTTTCCCTGCCATGCATTAGTGAGATAGGAGGAGAATCAACAAATGAAACCAAGTGAGCGTGTCCAGTACAGTAACTATTAAATTATTACTTGGAAGCTCAATGAGATTATACTATGCCTTTTTTGAGGAAAGTAGCATGGATTTAATTTTTTCTTTCATTTATGCTTTTGTAGCTCAACAGAACTTAAATAATCATCTCTTCTTTCATTTTCATTTTTATAAAAATTTAAAACAAAGTTAAATAATGACCTGAACCATAGGAAAGGAACTGAAATAATCTATTAGCTTTCTTGTAACCTAATGGTAGATTCTATAATTTTCTACTAACAAAATTAAGCCAATTATTATATTTTAAAGATGAGTAAAAGAAATTGATCCTTCAGGACAAAGCTGAAAGTATCAATATAAATACCATTTTTAAGCCGGGTGTGGTGGCGCAGGCCTGTGATCCCAGCACTCGGGAGGCTGAGGCAGGAGGATCACTGTGAGTTCAAGACCAGCCTGGGCTACACAGTGAGTTCCAGTTAAGTCTCAAATATATAACGAGACCCTGTCTCAAAAAACAAAAGAACAAACAAACAAATACCATTTTTACTTACTGTAAGTTGACCTGCTACTCCAAAATCTGCAAGCTTTGCATGCCCTTCTGTATTTAGCAAAATGTTTCCTGCCTTGATATCTCGGTGTATTTTTCTCATAAAATGAAGGTATTCCAGACCTTTGAGAGTTGACTGTAATATTGTAGCTATCTCATCTTCTGTTAACTGAAAAAAGAGTGAGAAGTTCAAATCCTATGTTTACATCACACATTTGAAAAAGAAAAGTTAGATTTAAACTATAAACCTAAGATCTTATTCAACACCTGAGCAGCATCTGACTGCTTATAATACCATTTATGTGTTAACCACTCCCAAGTAGTATTTCCAAACCTGGTGTCTTCCCAAATATCAGATTCATACAGCTGCCTGCAACATCTCTGAGTATCTAGCAAGCATCATAAGAACACATTAAATCATTCTATCTCTACTCTACTTGGCACCCACCTACTCACCCAACTCACAACAACAACAGTAACAAGACGATGAAGTTACAGAACACTTAATAGTTTAATACAAACTATAGCTAATAATAGTTTATTATTTATCACATAATCAATCAATCAAAAAAATTTAGTTAAGTACCCAATATGAGCCAGGAACTATGCTAATAATATTAAAAATAGGTAACCTTTTCTAAGTGTTTAATCTGTATGAGGCACTATTTTTGTAATCTTATATAATCTTTATAAAACTACTAAATGAGGTGGAAGTACTATTATTATCACTATTTTAATCATAGTGTTTATCACTAACTGGTATTTCTTTTCTATTTACCATTAATTTTCTTTTCGTTGCTCTGCTAGAACGTGTGCTACTGCTTGAGACATTTCTAGCTAAATGAATATACCTTGAGACTATACTCCTAAGTGAAATAAAATAGACACACGTTTAAATACACATTGCTTCTCTGGTGTGAGAAACCAAAAGAGTAAAGAAGGACTAAAATGTATAATAGATATGGGGAAATAGGAAGAAAATGTTCAAATGGGAAGGGGAACAAGGGGGACGAGGGAAGTAAGGGACAAGGAAAAAAAAGGATAGAAGAAAAAAATGGAAACAAAGCTTGTGTAAATAAGGAGAAGAGGGGCTGAAGGGAGGGGAGGGGAATAGTTATATAAAGCTAAATATATAGAGAGATATATAGATATATATATAAAAGCTAAAACATAAGAAAAAAATTTTTAAGTGCGCTACCGTAAGAGCAATGTTATTGTCTATTTTATTTGCTACTGGACCCCTAAGGCCTAAAGCAGTGTTCCAATAACATTTATTGAGTTAATAAAAAGAGTTTAAGCAATTGAAATGAAGCCAGAACCCATGCTAAATATATAGAGAGATATATAGATATATATATAAAAGCTAAAACATAAGAAAAAAATTTTTAAGTGCGCTACCGTAAGAGCAATGTTATTGTCTATTTTATTTGCTACTGGACCCCTAAGGCCTAAAGCAGTGTTCCAATAACATTTATTGAGTTAATAAAAAGAGTTTAAGCAATTGAAATGAAGCCAGAACCCATGACTCTTAGGTCTTATTCCAGCAATCACAGTAATAGGAAATAATCTTTCACATTGAGGTTACTCTCTGATTAACAGGATGTAGAAGTAGAGAAGATTAATCTGAACATACTGGTGAGAAGAGAAATTCAAATCCAAAATTAAACATTTAAAATTTATTCCACCAGGAGTGGCAGTGCACACCTGTAGTCCCAGCACTTGGGAGGCTGAGGCAGGAGGTTTGCTGTGAGTTCAAGGCCAGCCTGGGCTACACAGTGACTTCAAAACCAGCCTGAATTACTTATTGAGACTCTCGTCTATAAGTAAGTAAGTAAATAAATAAATAAATTCCATAACCAAGATCTGACAACCATTTTCTCCCAGTAAGAAATAAACCATGATAAAAATCACCAGACTGAGTTAAGTGTCAGAATTGTCACATTTAGGAGATAAAAGTAAAGTGGGAGACAGAGCATGGAAAAGGAGAAATTTGACTGTCATCTTCCTGGATACAACAGTAGAGAAACATATGAATAAAAAGCCAAAGAAAAGAAAACGGCATAAGACCACTAGCCAAGCAGAGTTATTCTAGAAAGTAAACTTACTGTTTTATTTCGTAATCGAATGATATCAGATACAGAACCGGCCCCACAGTACTCCATAACAATCCACAGGTCTGTGTTCTTAAAATAACTGCCATAATACTTGACTACATGTGGGCTGGAGAGAGATGTAATACAGATTAGTGGAATGGCCTTCAATCATTTCTATTAATTCATTCTGTTCAATATTTGAAAACCAATTTCTCATCTCAAAAGATCAATTATTCCCAAATAAGAAAAAATGAGCAGTCTTCTCAGAATGTAAAATAGGCTAGCTTTTCCAAAGATTATTAAATAACAGAAGTGTAAAAAAATGAGTACTTTAACCAACATTTCTAAGTCTACAATTAAAAAAGAATCAGATATTCAAAAACAGCAACATAAGCAGAACTGGAAATAATAGTGAACATTTAGATGCTATTTAAATGTCCACCCAACATTAGAGAATTTAAGAAATAATTATCATCACATAATGAACATCATGAATACATGAAAAATGTTTATAGAGTATATAACATGAGAAGATACCCTGTTTATCAAAAAAAGAAAAAAGGACTGGCTACAAAATAGTAGGCACAGTAAAACTCCAAAAAGAGACATGGAAGAATATGAGCATCAAGGAATATTAAACAATGATTTCTCAAAAGGGAAAAGTGATTTTACTTCTTTCTTTCCATTTGCATTTTTCTAAAAAGTCATATGCACTTTGTGATAATAAATCACGCTATAAATCTAAAAAATAAGGAGAAAAAATACACAGGATAAATCTGGAATTTTAGGTCTCAATATTGAAAATACAAAACAAGAAATTTCAGAGAGAACTAACTTAATCTGGACAATCCAATCAAGAAGAATGGGGGCTGGGCCAGGGATTTCGCTCAGTGGTTCTGCCGCCTGCCGTGCAAGCGCAAGGTCCTGAGTTTAATCCCTGGAATAAAAAAAAAAAAAAAAGACAAGAAAGAAAAGAAAAGAAAGAAGAATAGGGGCTGAATCTAGCAGACGGTGACCACAAAAAGAAACTGAGGGAGCGAGAACAGAACTGGCTCTTTGGGCTGGGGATTTAGCTCAGTGGTGCCCACACCTGCCTCACAAGCACTAGGACCTGAGTTTGATTCCTGGTACCCCCCCCCCAAAAAAAAACTGTCTGTTTGAAGTCTGTAAGACTTAAAGTTCATAGGTAAATTTCTTAGCAGGCAGTTCCACCTGCTCTTTGTTGAAGCTTTACAGGAAAGCACTAAGCTGATCTGACCAAAAAAGTTTTGGAAAATGTATGCCGCCTCAAGTGCAAAACTTTTTCATCCCTCCTTCCAACTCTCCAGAGCTGGCATCATCTTTAACTGTATGTTTCTCTCAAATCTAAATAGTGTGGGTAAGCCTGCTCCATCATAGTGACCAACCCATGTTATCACAGAATATGAGAGCAAACCACGTGCTTTCCTGTGGCTGCCTGGTAACCCAACTTCCTGCTTACTACATTTGAGAAATCTTAGTTCCTCAAAAATAAAATACTTAACTATTCTCAGCTCGAATAACTTTTTAAATATGAAGGAACAGTAATATATAAATTAAGCATTTTCTTTTTACAGACCAATCTAATATTCTAAAATTTCTAGAGCTAAAAAGCATTTGAACTATGTTGTCTAAGCTGTCTCTACAGAAACGTTTCTCATGAAGAAGAGAGATCATTATCAAAAAGAGAAAGAAAAAAAAAAAGCCAGCAATACCTCTGCTTCTTCTTCCTAGTTTCTAAAAGGACTTAGTGAAGAAGGAAAAAAAATGCAGAAATAGAAATTATCAAAGTTTAGCTATAAAAACATACAACTTTTCATTTTTTTTCTGAAATTCCACTGACCTCTGCTTTCTGCAAAATAAGTAAATGAATGTCTAGGTGTCAAACTCTAAGCAAGCACAACAAATCCAAACCCATGTCCTCTCCAAAAGAACCCCAAGTGTCTTTTTACCTGTCACATTGCTGCATTATTGAAATTTCTTTGATTATTTCTTGAAGATCTGATTCCACGGGAACTTGTTTAATAGCAACAATCTGACCAGTCTCCTTATGAATAGCTTTGTATACACTGCCATAGGACCTACAATTGGAGGAAGGAAAACATTTAGAAAATCAAAGCAGGCTAAGAGATAAGAAGTGGTACAACACAAAAACTCTAATTTATATCCGTAAGTACTTACATCCCTAAGTATGTTACGTATGTACATATACTTAGCTAGACTTGCAAAACTAAGATAAAGTATACATTTTGGGGGAAAAGTGACACCTTAAAAACTTCATACCTAAACTTATGAATGAATTATTGTGAAATAATTATAACTTCTGTGCACTGTTAAGCATGTCTGCTAGAAAATATACACCCCTCAGTTCAACCTTAAAAAAAATGAGAAAGAGATGGTTATGCCTATTTTAATAGTAAATATACAAATATTCAGAGAACTTACATGATATTCCCGATGTCACTTAAGTGATAAATAGTGTTTGGTTCAGGAGTTGAACTCAGGCTGTCTGAATACAATGTTTGTCTCTCCACATCTATACCCAAAGTACAATATAAAAGTGTTTGCTTTCTTAAATTAATTTGATTACCATAGATCTTTCTGTCCTTGTCTCTTATTTGCAATAATACTTAAATTATTATGAAAAGCAATCAAAATCTAAGTCTCTATAATGCTAGTATCAGAAGAATTGTGCAAATATAAGTACTTTTACCTTCTATTCCATTTTTCTTTAAGAATTTATTATTAAAATGAATAGAAAGTTCATTCATTCAACTTGAGGGCTATAAGAACATTAGATTTAGTATCTCAACACCTAGGATTACATTCTACTACCACTACATACTATTACTTACAAACACATTATTAGCTTTGTTATGCCTCCACTTCCTCAACTGTAAAATAATAGGACAAACTACAAGGGAGTTGTGCAAGTGAGATACCTCAACTTACACAGATTTTTCATTAGAATCCTGGGATGCTCTGAGTGAAATAATGTGTAAACTGCCTTTGAGGCTTCCCTAACACATCTATTTCTGCATACTGTCTTGGTGAAAAAAAAAAACACCAAAGTAATGGTGCCATCTAGTATGTTTTGCCATCTAGCAAAACACCCTACCTTCCCAAAAGATGCTTGAGAATAATTTCAATGTCAAAGTAACACAAAATTTTTAAAAATCCATGCACAATACATAAAACTCAGAACGCATGCACACCAGAATTCCTGTATTTGCACCAGGGATTTAGCTCAGTGGTTCCACCACCTGCCTTGCAAGCACAAGGACCTGAGTTCGATCCCCGGTACCAAAAAAATAAATAAATAAAATAATAATAATAATAATGATAATTCCTTTGCAAAACTGGCATAATGATACTTAAATATGGCATCAATTTTTTGTCACAGAAAGGCAACTACTGACCATATGGTGGAAGACCCAACCACTGCCCATCTTTCTTGCTAAAAATAACCTTGGTTTATTAGCACAGCAACATGCTTGGTCTTAAGGAATAAATTATACTGGGCCAAGCTAGTCACAGTATTCCTTGTCCCTTTTGCCAGTGACTGAACTAGTAACAAGTATATGACCTAGTTCTGGCCAACAGTATTTCATTAGAATTCTGTTGAAGGATTTCTGAGAAAGATTTTTCTCTTCTGGCAACAGAGAAGCACGTAAGACTCATTTCCACCTCCCTTTTTGTTTTGGTTGCTGTTGAGTGAGGGGTGACACTTAAAACTAATAAAATCATCTTGAGACTGTAAGAACTGCCAAAATATCACATCATTAAGTCAATTAACCCCTTCTGAAATCTCTTATCTCAAAATTTATTCAGTTATTAAATGCCTTTATAGGTTAGCCACTACTAGTTGAAGTATTCTGTCACTCCTACCCAAAGGTATTTTTGATAAATTAGATCCTACATATCTGAAAATTATTTCATCTTCACTCTACAATGAATTTTGCTGGTCATAGAATTCTTTCCTTCAGCACTCTGACTGCAGTTTTCCAGGATCTGCTGTTGCTGAGAAGGCCACTTTCATCAAATTACCACTGTCCATAAGGAACCTCTACATAGTTTTTAAGATGCCTTCTTTCTCCTTAATTTTCATTCTACAATTTTACTTCACCTATGAGCTGATTTATCTGGCATTTCATAAGCTTCCTCAATCAGAGGGCTCATGTCTTTCAAGTATAGAAATTCTCAGCATTTTCTCTTTATTTCATTTTTTAGAATTCCTGTTGAACCTATATTGGACTTTCACAATTTGTGTTGCTTTGGTTTCCAAAACTATTTTTGTCTTGTATTTTGTGATTAGTATCATTAGTCATCAGTTTCATTTCTCTCTTTCAATTAATGAATTCTCTTCATCTTGTCCAGTTTGTCATTTATCCAATTATTGGTTTTTAAAACTTCAATTATTATAGTCTGGTGTTCTTCTTTCAAGGATATTATTTTGTCCTTTTAGCTTTTTGAAAACTGCAAATGTATTTCTTTTCAAGCAGACATGGTAGCACGTGCCTGAAGTCCCAGATACTTGGCAAAGTAAGGCACTTCAGCTCACAAGTTCCAGACCAGCCTGGGCAACATAAAGAGACACCATCTCAAAAAAATAAAAGAAAATCTCTTGTAAGATGGCCCCATTATTTCTGCATCCTTGAGTGTGAATTCTCCAACTTACGAGTACTGATTATCTATCTTCTCATGGCAGTGGATTACTTTGAATGAATTACTTCAGAGTGGATTACTTCAGAGTGCTAAAGTATTTTCTACTACACAATGCTCAATGAGATGGTTTCATGGTTCCTTCAGTCCTGTTGCCTGGAGTCCTTGAGGGCCTTGCTATTCAGGATATCATACCTGTAGGTAGTGGAGACCCAGTTCCTATTGTTTAGACTGGTATTTCTGCTTTTTTCCTAGGTCATAAGAAAGTAAGTTAAGTTTATTTTAGCTTTAGTTCACACATGGGGAATCTAGTCTCAGCCCATTACTTCACACAGGAAGTCCAACTACAATCTCCTGGTAAGTAGAAGACATCCTTTTCTTTCTTCTTATTATGACAGATCCATTTTTACCCCTGGCTGTTAGCTGCCTGTATATCCTTATTATAAAACGTTCTTATTATTCAAAAATTCTTTATAATAAAAAATATTTATAATAAAATTTAAATATTCAGATATTCTTTTTAATAAGAATTGAATATTCAAGAGAATTGATATTCATTAAGCTGGGTCTCATTAAGTTGCCTAGTCTTGCCTTGACCTTGAGACACTCTGGCCTCAGTCTCCAGAGTAGCTGAGATTATAAGCATATGCCAACACCCCTGGCTTATTCATCTTATCTGTAAGAATCAGAAACAAGAAAGCTCTGCATGTACTCACTCAGCAGTCATTACCAAGGCAGTCTCCAGACTTCCTTATGCTATTTTGATAGCAAAGAAAACTCCAACAGTTTATATGAACTGAGATGTATGATTCCAACTACTGTATTTATAGCAATCTCATGAAGAGTTAGAAGTCTTCAGCAATCATCCTCACTTATAGGCAAGTCCCTTAACACCTGATTTCCTACAACTAACCCTAAATGACTGAATTTTTCTTTTTTTTTTTGGTACTGGGGATCCAACTCAAGACCTTGCACTTATGAGACAGGCAGCAGAACCTCTGAGCTAAATCCCCAACTGGACTGAAAGAATTTTAATGGGCAGAGAACAAAGATGGTAAAGTAGATGTTTTACATAAGCCATAAAAGGCAAGGATGAACGTAGAAAAACTGAAATAATAGAGGATCTGAGGCCAATGTAATCAAGTACAAATCTTACTGTCAATATCACTCACTACTAGGATGCTTTTTTATTGCCCTATAATAAAAACTTAAGTCACTGTGTAAAACTTTTAAGTGTAAGAGAAAGAAAAAGGAGGGAGAATCCAACTCCAAACACTTTCTACTCATCTTGGCCTGGCACTCTGGCTATACTCTACTAAAGATCCATAAGATTTTCTCAAAATGCAGCATGACTGCAGCCTACAGAATCCAAGAGTTCTTTGGCAAGAGTGCACTTCACAAGACCCAGGTTGGTGAAAGTTCACAATCCATTCATTCTCCAGAAAAATTTAAAGATGACACAGTATCTTGTATTCAGAAAAGTAAACTACTTCTGCTTCAAGATCTTGCTAATTCAATGAAGTCTGCTCAGTTTAAGTCTGAATGACAGAAATCCACATATATCTGTGGTATATTTTTAAAGCCCCATAAGGTGACAGCATGGGGGAAAAAAAGATTCAAAGTTTTACTTGTTTTCTTCTTTTTCGTTTTTTTTTTTTTTTTTTTTAAGACAGGGTCTCACTATGTAGCTGAAACCTGGACTCACAATGTAGCCCAGGCTGGTCTTGAGCTCACAGCGATCCTCCTGCCTCAGCCTCCCGAGAGCTGGGATTACAGGCATGCGCCACCACGCCCGGCATATTTTTCTTCTTCTTGATGACACCTTTATAGAGAAACTCCCATTTCTTGCTGAAGATATCCATAGGTCTAAAACATGATTTTTAAAAATCATAATTAGCTTAGTTTTTCCTTAGTATATTCCTGACATATTGTCTAGTTTTCTTTTGACAGTCCCCAAATCCAATTAAGCCAGAGTCACCCATAAGAATACCTAAATATACTTAAAACACTTAAGATTTAACTTTGATTTGATATGAACTCTGAAAAAAATTAGTTGATATTACAATAGTTATGACTTACTGAGAACTTATTATATGACAGGCACTATATCTAATACTTTACCCCTATTATTTCATGTAATACTTGCCATGGGCCTATGAAGTAGATACTATTATTATTACTTTTATCGAAGAGGATTGTGAAGTTCCAAAATAACAAGCTCAAGTTTACTTACTTATTACAACAAGTAGTAGAGCAATAGTTTTAACCCAGCTCTGTGTGACTTCACAGTCTACACAGTTACTTCTACAACCTACCTTTATTAAAAATGAAAAAACTAGTTACATAAACAATTATGCTCACCTGACCTTATCTTATTCCAACTGTTACGTTAAGGGTCATGGACTCAATGCCTTAAGGAAAATATCAAGGATGACAAGCTAAAGCTTAAAATGGCAAGCAAGAGATGTAGAGGGACTGTCACTTTCCCATACCTTTAATGATGCCAGTCAGCTGGCAGTCTTCTGAGTCATTTTGGAATTCTTTTGTCAGCGCAGCTGGTATTATCTTTTACTTCTCTGCTTGATTTCTTGCTGGATTCCAAGAGTCTTTTTCCAACTCACAAAGAGTTGGAGTCTAATTTTTTTTACAAGGAGTTAATCCATGAAAAACAATTCTACGTAATCCAGGATTGGGTTTAATATTACAGATCTATGCATGGCATAATATTAATTTCCAAACAATGTAAAACAACAAGAGCTGTTACTGTTATAGTCTGGATCCAGAATATCCTCCAAAGGCTCATGTTTTGAAGTTTGGTCCCAGCTGGTGGCTGGGAGGCAGTGGAAACTTCAGGAAGTGATTCCTAGTTGGAAGAGGTGGGTCACTGGAGGTTTGCCTTTCCAGGGTATATTTTGTCTGTCCTTGCGCTCTTTGCGTTCTGGTCAACATGAGATGAGCGGTCTCATCTGCTGCATGTTACTGCCACCATAATACTCTGCTTCATTCAGGCCTAAGGCAATAGAGCCTGCCTACCATGGACAGAAACCTCCAAACCCATGAACCAAAATAAATCTTTCTCAGGCCAGGGATTTAGCTCAGTGGTGCCACTGCCTGCCTTGTAAGCGCCATGTCCTGAGTTCGATCCCCAGTACCAATAACAAATCAAAATAAATCTTTCTTCCTTAAATTGTTTTTCTCGGGTATTTTGACACAGCAACAAAAAGCTTATTAATAGAATGGCTGATGATTTTAAAGAGCATAGTCACTAAAACATTTTTAATGTTAATATGTCAGGACATCTCTTAAACTAGCAGTATTCCTGAGGGATTAAAAATTCACACATATATACACACTTGCTTACGAAAGCTCGAACCATCTATGAAAGATACATTCGAAACTGCTGCAGTGGTGATTCTAGATGGCTGACAGAAGCAAAGGGCAGATTTTTTTTTTTTTACTGTATATATACTTTTTTACTTTTTGTATCATATAAATTTATTACCTACTCAAAAGTTAACAACAAACACTTAAGAAAAGGTGCTCCTAATATTTTAATGTCCTGGGTTGGCTTTTTTTTTTGTTTTTTTGTTTTTTTTGAGACAGGGTCTCACTATGTAGTTGAGACTGACCTGGAACTCACTATGTAGCCCAGGCTGTTCTCGAACTCACAGCGATCCTCCCGCCTCAGCCTCCGAGGTTCTGAAATTATAGGCATGCACCACCACACCTGGCTCTGTTTTGTTTTTGTTTTTGTTTTTTAACAAAAGAGGCTGAGTAGGAAAAATTTATTGAAAGATAGCTTCTGTCTAAGAGAGACAAAAGGGGAACCAGAAGGTGGGTTGCCCCTGTCATCGTTATTAAAGAAAAAATAAATATACAGAATCAATACTGAATCCCAATTTTTTTTACAATCAGAAGCCATGAAGAGCAAATAAAAGTACATATGGCTGATCTAATTAGTACAGTTAACCAGATAAAATCATACAAACCATAGATTTTGCAAGAGGGAAAACAACAGATGTCCTTGATAATAAAAACTGGGAATCATTAAATCTCTCCACAATACCAAGTAGGGTGGAGTGAGGAAGAGCACTGCAGGCAGTAAACTTTCCACCTATCTTCCCTAGAGCTATGCTGAGACAACATTCCTTTTTCTTCTCCTCAGGTTTGAGAATTATTGCCACAAGAGAAGTAAACATCCAGCAGGTGCTGGGGCAGGAACTACTGGTCTATATGTATTTTCTCTTCACTCACCCTTCTCCAAGTTTCTCTAAGACATCAAACACTTCTTCTGGTTGTTTGGTTAAACTATCTTCATCCAACTTTTTCAGCTGCCTGTGAATAAATAACACAAAAATCATTTTACTTACTAGCACCTAAACCATAAATACATCATTTATTTTACAATTAGCACCCTAGGAACCTCTTTACAAAGTTTTCACGAATAAACAACAACAAAGTCAAACTAAGAGACTTTTAAGGGCCACTGAAAGACTTTGTTCTGGGTCACCTGATAACGAAAATCAGGTCCAAAAGGTGAAGAACCTCTAAGACTCAGATTTCAACACAACATGTTTAAATTTTTTTCTAATAATACAAGTTGTTTTAGATAGCCTTACAAGGTCTCTGGGTCCCCATGATTGGAAAATTTAAACAGAAAATAAATTATCATCTGCCTAAATGCTTTAGAGTAGATTTAAGCATTAGGTAAATCCTTTGGAATTCATCTAAATCTTGAGATTCCACAAATTAAAATGACATAACTGTCTCTTTAGAAAAGATATTGTTTAATGTAAGATTAACTACTATATGTTGAATCATGAATTGGACTGGTGGTCAGGGAAGACAGGGAACTCTTTGCTCTCTATTAGAAAGGGTTTGGTAATTTTGTCAAAACATGTAAATTCTATAGGCATCACAGAAACACAAAGTGGAAAGTATACATTTAGATATGAGCAAAAGTGAAAAATAATTTGGCAGGTGGGAGTTCCAGTCTCACAAAGATCTCTCATGAGCAGTCATGTACCTTTGAGTAGTTCAAAAACCAGAAGTACCTGACTGCTCACAACCTCCAGACAGTTCAGATTTTTTCTAGCTATGCTAGGTAATTGTAACAAGTAAGGGAGATTATTAACAATTTTTTTTTTAATTCTGACACCTCTGAAAATTAAAAGGCTTAAAAAGAAAAGAGCTTGCCAAGAAATGTGTGTGTGTGCACACGTGTGTGTGTGTGTGTGTGTGTGTGTGTGTGTGTGTCATCTATACAATGGCTTCCTAAAATTACAAAGGACAACAAAAAAAAGAGAACTCAGGAAATGGTGATATATGGAAGTAGTCACACTGGAGATTTCTTGTAAAGAAAATGGTTTAAACTAACTAGACAATATCAATTCTTACATGACTTGAATTTAAAAGTGCACACTTCCTAAAGAAAGAAGTAAAATCAAAAGACAAAAACAAAAACAAGAAAAAAGAAAGAAAAAGAAAAACCTGACCACATCAAGCATTATCTACCAACGAACACTGACTCCACAAAGGACAGTATTACAAAATTTTATAAATGTCAAGGGTTGTCTCCTAGAGAAATGGAGAATTGCTAAAAGTCACAGCCTCAACTTACATTAATTAAAGATCAACGAAGCACAGTAACCACACTGACCTTTGAAAGAAAATTCAAAGATCCTAAAAATTAAATTCCAATGACATCATAAAAACTCCCAGCTTAACAGGTGCTGAAGTGAAACTCCTTAAATTTCAGAATCAAAATTTCTACAAACTCAGAAGTTAAAATGAACATCTCATATGCCAAGGCTTTTTGGTAAAGCCCTGAATTATGACTGTATAAACAATGGACAATACCCCATTAAACAAGTATAATTAAAGTTTTATAAACAGCTGATATAAAGGAAGAGCAAGTGTGTTGGGTTTTTTTTTTAAGTTTGAGTCTTGTGGCTTACAAAAAGCAAAATTCACTATTTGAGCTACTACAGAGACCACAGAACAAAGGAAACTGCCACTGCCAAGAGAGACAGTTGCAAGACTCTGATAATATTTTAACTTTATATGACTGTTCAGATGCTTCTTTAAAACAATCTAAATATTTTTTGTTTTTGATCTGGGATTATTTAAAACTTGAACTTAAACGAGGTTTACATCTCTGGTGCCTGATAACCCACAGGTAGTAAAAAAAAAAAAAAAAATCTGCTAAATGGATCAACAAATATGATGACAGTCATAACCTTCATAGCAATCTTATTTGCACTATTAAAATAAAATAGAATACCTAACAGAATAAAAAGTACTATTAGGTTATAAACAAGATTTCTATAGAAAACGTTTTGACAAATGATTCATATTGATATTTTATACTTCATGGAACAAGTACTATTACCCAAAACAGTCCAACAATGATGATGCAGGTCTCTCAGCTAGGGTTTCCCCTATGTCCTAGGCAGCCTGAGCACCTGCTCCTAAGGAGCAGGTCTACCCAACACAATTCTGTGAAATACTGGTGGATGTTCCTAAGTCAGATGGCCACATGGATGGCTAGAATCCCAGAATGCATGCAAAGCCTTCCACCCATTACCTAATGGCAACTCACTTTTTACAATCACTAACTCCCACACAGGACACCAATCTATCATCATTCACTTAGTCACGCACAAATGTCAAACTTGTGAACACAAAGAGTATTTCCTGCATTGGGATGGTTGGAAATGCATGCCATCTGAGACCCTGAAAAGACTTTCTAAATACAAACAGTGGTGTCTGTGAAGTGTTCACTCATTGGTCTAATTTTCAAACCTCTTTACCCTACCTCAAAACTCCTCAAAAGGCTCATTTTATTCGCATATAATATGTAAGATATAGTCACCCTGCTCCAATTCTAATTCCCAGTACCTCAAAATGGTTCAGTGTTTGGAGACAGGACTTTTAAAGAAGTAATTAAAGTAAAATGAGGTCATAAAGGTGGGCCCTAATCCAATATGATTGATGTTCCTATAAGAAGAGGAAATGAAAATACAGACAGGTATAGAAAGATCATGTGAAAACTAAGGGAGAAGACAGGTATCTACGAACCAAACAGGTCTCAAAAGAAACAACAATACCATCACACTTCATTTCAGATTTCCAGTCTCCAGAACCATAAGAAAATAAATTTCTGTGGTTTTAAACCAATCAGGTGTGATAATTCTGTAAGGACACTCCTAACAGACCAATACAAATGATAATAAAATTAATCTGAGGCAAATTAGGCAGTTCACTAGTTATAATGAAAAAAAAACACTGGTTATTCAAGAACTCAGTCCTGCAATGCCTTCTCTTACACTTTTTTTTTTTTTTTAATTCAAAAGGTATAGGAAGCCATGCATAGAGGCAAACATCTGTACTTCCCTGCTGCTCTGGAGCTGAGACAGAAGCATCACAAGTTCCAGCTCAGCCTATGTAACTTACTGAGATAAGTCTTAAGAGTCAGCACTCCCTTGTCTCAACCCTCAGTACAAATTTAAAAAGTATAGAAATGAACATGTCAAAAAGCAAAAAACTTTACGCCTTCTCCTAAGATTATACAACATGAGGCAAAGGAAGAAACAAAACTCAGATTCCTAATCTTCTTTCAATTAAATGAAAGCCTCCAAGAAAGAAACTATAGAGGGTCAGGGTTTATTTAAACTCAGTGGTTCTGCCGCCTGCCTCACAAGTGCAAGATCCCAAGTTCGATCCCCAGTACAAAAAGAAACCATAGAATCTTTTTCAGGAAAAAAATAATCATGCGTATATAGTCTTAATTGAATTGTTATGATGCTACAGTAAATATATGCTAATATACAATGTCCTGTAAAACAAGGGTGCTTCCATACAGCAACAAAGTGGTGCAGTTAAGAGCGTAGACTTCGGCCCAAACCACCTGCATTTTAAAACTCCAACTCTGCCTCTTACTAGCTATGGGACCTCCAGCAAATCATTAGCCTCTGTGTGGCTGAGTTTAACCTTCTGTAAAACAGGGATACAGGGATATCCATTCTATATGTCAAGTTGAATCGCAGAAAACTTACCATTTTTAAAGTTCAAAAATGGTCAAATATGGTCTGGGGACTTTTAGCTCAGTGGTGCAGCACCTACCTAGCAAGTGCAAGGTCCTAAGTTTGATTCCCGGTACCAGGAAAAAAAAAAAAGGTCAAATATTAGCAATTTCATATGGTTAATAGGAGACACCGAAAGTACTCAGAACAGTGCCCCACACCCTGAAAATGTACAAGTTGCTATTACCTCCTCAGCACACTAGACTAAATAAATTATGAGCCCATCCCAACAAGCTATTTGCCTTCTATAATGTTTGTGCACTTCAATCAACCCCCAAGAGGACTGCCCAGGCTGACAACCCTTTCCTTCATCTTTCAGTTGCCCAGCACTCTGGCACACCACCAAACACTTCCTACTTCAGTGCTCATTCTGCTGCAGGAAGTCAGAAGTCTTCTCTGTGAAACAGAAATTAACCAAAATGGACCTCAGAGAAGCAGGATTCTCCTCAGTCTCTACTCCCTACTTTCTTCCAGATGTGGCACAGTGGCGTAAGACCCAAGTGTCCGTGGGGAAATCAACAATACAAATGCAACAAATCCAAGACAAATGCAAACTTTCTAGGATCAGCCACCACCCTGAGATCTTGACCAAAAACAACTCCAGGTACCACTAAGATCTGGAACTGCTAGTCACAAAACAATCGGAAGACCAAAAAGCGCAAGTCTAGCCAGGTTCATGTGTCTTAACTCTTCTCGAACTCAGCTTGCACATCCTAAAAATATCTTATTTCCTTTTCTAACTTCCAGCGTTGGGTTGTGAAGAACTGAGATGGATGAAAAGAAAACCAGAAAAATATGCCATCATCTTCGAGTGGGGAGAAGAGCACCCTTTGAATAATATTCTCCAGAAACCTATCCATTCCTCGATCCTCCACCTTTTTTCGCACTTCAGCCACCGAGGCAAAGCTTTTTTACGCAACCGATCTTTCTAGCTGCACCCCTCAATTGGAACTCAGGATCCTGAGAAAGTCCACCTGCTTTCCTCTCTGCCAGTTCTCGTTTCGTGGCCCTACAATCCTAGACTCCTCTCAACCTGCCTCAACATTCGCCTCTACCTCCCTGAGTTCCTTCTTAGAGCGCCTTCCTCGGAGAGGCCCCTGGCCTCAGCAGGTGTTCTCTGTAACTTGTCCCCAAGTTTTTCAATAGAGTTCCCCACAGCGAACGCTCCGTCTATGTAACCGCACGTTTATCCCTCTTCAGCCAGTGCTGGGCTCAGCCGGACCTCTACAGCCAGGGATCCATCCCCCTCACTCAGCAGGTGCCCCATCCATTCGGACGCCTCGCCTCTCAGGTCTCTCTCCTCCTGGGGCTCCCAAGCTGTTCGCTCAGCCAATTCCCGCCTTTCTCGCATCCCAGCCAGTGGCCCCTCACCGGCGCGGCGGGTTCCTCAGCTGCACCGTCTCCATGGCGCCGCCAGCAGCAGCCCAAGCCCTCTCACTGCTCCATCCTCCCTAGATCTCCCTGATCCCGCCCCGCAGACCCTCCCACACTTCCGCTTTCCGTCCCTACCGGAAGCGGTGAGAAAGGGGGCGGAACAGCGGAGGGCGCAGGCTGGGTCACGTGTGCGGCTATGAGTCACGTGGCGCCTAGAGGCTGGACCCGGGAACCTTGAAGTCGAGGTTCCTCGCCGCTGTGTCCCGCGAGCCGAAAGCATAGGGCGGCGCTATTTGCTATAGAGTTAGCCTAAGACACTAGAGCCCCAGGCCGGAAATCCATCTCTTCTAAGGGTTTCTTCTATTTCTCGGTCCGAGATACTGAGGATTCTAGCGAAGCACGAACTTGGTAAGAACTGTTAATTCTTGACAAGCCAAGTTTTGCACAGTGGGAGAGGCATTACTCCAAGTATGTTTGGAGTGCTTGTGGTTTTCTACTACTTACCTCGTTGAACTCTAGGCTCAACTTATCAGTGCACAATAGCAAACATCGCTCCTTTGTCTCCTTCCTAGGATTTTTCCGCATGATGAACTGAAATTATTATAGACCTCTTTTTCCACAGAATATTCAGCCCAGTACTGCGCAATCAAAATTCTGTGATGAAAATATTCTATATAACTACTGTCTAAAATAACTAGTACACATGACTAGAATGACCTGAAATTTTTATATCACTTTCTTAAATTTAACAGGCCTCAGCCAATCATAATATGATGATCTGGCATGTTCACTACATTTTGGGTGTTTTATTTATCATTCATGATCTGATTGTATCAAGTTTTTAGCAGGAGGTAACTTTTTTTTTGTAGTACCTTGAATTGAAGTTGGCCTGTGCATTGAACTGCATCCCTAATCCTGTTTTCTTTTTCTTTTAACTTTGGACAGAGCCTAAAGTTCAGGCTAGCCTAGAACTTGTGATAGTCCTGCCTCAGTCTCCCAGAGTGCTGAGACTAGAGGCATAAGCCATCCTACTCAACTAGGAGGTGTTTTTTACTTTAATATTTTCATCTCTTGCAGAGGGCACTGGTTAAGGAGTGGGTATATAGTTATACTCTCCTTAGTGGGCTAATAACATACAACAGAAATTTATTTCTCATTTCTGCAGGATAGAAGCCCAAGATCGAGGCAACAGCAGATGCAGTTTCTGGTGAAGTTCCCTTTCTGTGTTCATAGATGGCACTTTCTTACTGTCTCCTCACATAGTGGAAGCAGCTGGGGGGGTCTCTTTTATAAGAACACCATTCCCATGACCCCTCCATGACCTAATTACCTCTCAAAGGCTGCACTTCTGATCCTTGAGGATTAGAAAGCATTTCAACATACAAATTTTGCCAGGGAACAAAAACGCATGTTGTGTGCCAGACCTTGATAGGTCTTGCAGAGACAAAGATATAAATGCTGCCTGAAAGACCTCACAGTCTTGGAGGCAAATGTAAACTGACAGAGTTGGAAATGATAATTTAGGGATAAACCTAGCGATCAATATTATGGGAGCAGAGGAGGATCAGAAAAGATTTTTCCGAAGAGATGATATTTGAGTTGCATATTATAAGTTGATTCAAGATTATGTAGGAGAAAGGGTTTGGAAAGTATTTCAGAAAAGGATAACATAGGCAAAGGCTAGGAGGCAAGGTAAAGAGCTTAATATTTACAGATTTTATTTATTTATTTATTTATTTTTTGGTACTGGGGATCGAACTCAGGTCCTTCAGCTTGGGAGGCAGGCAGTGGAACCACTGAGCTAAGTACCCGGCCCTGTCCATTTTTTGAGGCAGGGTCTCCCTTTGTTGTTCAGGCTGGTCCTGAACTCACTATGTAGCCCAGGCTGGCCTAGAACTCACGGTGATTCTCCTGCCTCAGCCACCCGAGTACTGAAAAAGGCTTTTTTTAAAAAAACTAAGTATATGGTGGGACAGAGGAAGTGACAGAGGCCGAAAATGAATTGAAAGATTTTTATCAGTCTATCTGTACATCCATTTTCGAAGTCGGTATCAATAGTCCAGAAGGGCCAGGTCCTTTCAACCCTCTGGGCCTTGTGCACTTTCTGTTCCTCTGTCTGGATAAGCATTCTCTAAATCTTAGCAAGTCTCCTCCCAATTATTAAGACCTTCCCAGGCCTCCTCACTTGAAATACCTCCCCAGAAGAAAAGAAAGATAAACAGCACCCACATGGTTACTTTTTATCGCATCACCTGCTTTTGTTTTCCTTGGAGCTCATTATAAAATAAGCACTTTTACTTACTCGTGATTTTACTGCCTGCCTGACTACTCCAGAATGAAAAGGAACTTGGCCCCTTTCACAGCTTTACCTATTGCGCTAAGTCACCTCCAATCACCGAGGGAAACGCCAGTCACCCGGCGAGCCAAGGCGAGCAAACTGAGCACGCGCAAAGTGAGCGGCTCTACCGGCCTTGGGTTCGCGGAGGCTCCGCCCCCTCGCAGCCGCCTTAGCTACGGGCCTGAAGTACGCGAAGCCGGCGCTTCCGCCCGGACGCATTCGATTCCACTCGTGGGAGAACGCGGGGCTCCTCATTTGCTGGTCCGGCCGGGATGGCCCCCAAACTCCCAGACTCTGTGGAGGGGCTCCGAGCTGCCGGCAACCAGAGCTTCCGCAGCGGCCAGTACGCCGAGGCATCCACGCTGTACAGCCGCGCTCTGCGGCTGCTGCAGGCGCGAGGTAGGACCCCTTCTCCGGTTCTCCAGACCGGTTTCCTCCCACTCGCACCCTCCCTGCGCCTCTCCCACGCCATCACCTTGACCTCGCTCTGTCCTGGGCTTCCTGCGACTTTTCGACCGCCAAGTGGCCCCCAGACTCCTCGACTTTGGCCTCCTTCGAGAAACTTCTGGCTCTTTACGTTTGCTTTTTAAAACTGGCTTCTAGGTTCCAATTCTTAAGTTATTCGGGCCTCATTCTGCCCCTGAGAATATAGCTGAGCTATCCTTACCCACAACTCTTCGTTTTTCAGTTAAATTAACATCAGTGGAGCACCTATTATACACCTATTACAAGACAAAGAAGGTCGGACCTTCTTGTGAGTGGAGTATGGATGGATTTTAGGCTAGTAAATAAGTAGACAAGACGTCTGGATAATTTGGTCCATGAAGAAGACACAAATGTGATAGTTGACTGGAGCAAGCTTTGAGAGGCCAAGGACAGCTCCCCTGAAGAAGGGCTATTATTTGAGGTGATAACCTGAATGATGAAGCAGCTACTGGCCCACAGAAGTTTTTGTCGCAGAGCATTACAGGTGGAGAAAATAGGCATTTTAAAGCCCCCATGCCGGATGTGGTAGCACACACCTGTTTGTAATCCTAGCACTGGAGAGGCTAAGGCAGGAATATCACTAAATTGGAGGCCATCCTGAACTACATGCCAGACCCTGTCTTAAAAAAACAAAAAAAACAAAAAAAAAAAATAAAAAAAAAAAGGAAAGAGAAGGTCCCCTAGGCTGAATAAACATGGTATGTTCAGGAGTCAAACCATAGTAAGCCAGTAGAGGTAATAGTAAGACATGAGGTAGACGCTTACTGTGTAGCTATTTTTAAACCCTCGTAAGGAGTCTAGATTGTATTCCCTTATCGGGAGCTACTAGAGAGTTTTAAACAGAAGAGTAGCATATTCTTGTCAGTTCCCTCAGCCTCCAGCTCACTTCAACCACAGACCTTTCCCCAAAGTCTTGTCCCTTCTCCAAAATATGTTATCCAGCTGGGCATGGTGGTGCACACCTGTAGTTCCAGCACTGGCGAAATTGACACAGGGTGATCATAGTGAGTTGGAGGCCAACCTAGGCTACAGAGGGAATTCAAGGCCAGCCTGAACTACATAGTGGGACCCTGTTTCAACAAGACAAAACAAAAACTCTCTTCCAGGATCTCTCATGGTTAAAGCTTTTGAACAGAATTGGATCTTATTATCTGTAAGTTGCTACAGTATCTGTTTCCCTTTCCCTTCCACTTCCTTATTCTCCTCCCTGACATTGAAGATTGAATGCAGGGCCTTGGTACTGAGCTATAATTTTGCCACTCCATCCCCAGTGTAGTGAGATACACACAGTCTCACTAGATTGCCCCAGCTGGGATTGTATTTGTGATCCTCCTGCCTCAGTTTTCTAGAGTACTGGAATGATGAAATTGCTGGAGAATATGAGGTATTGATGTCTCTTTCTTTGATCCCATTCCAGCTGGCCTGGGAAAGCTGTGCTTTTGTGTGGGTTTATTCTGAGTCCCTAGAAGAGCTGAGTGGATATTTACATTTACCAGAGACCAGATTTAGGTTCTGATCCTGCTACTGATTTTCTAGGTAACTTGTAGGCCAGTCTCTTCGTTTCTCTTATCATTTTTCTTGATCCTGAAAGGAGCACAGGAAGTATCCTAATGCAGTGAACCTTGGCTAGCAGGTCTGTGAAGTGATATCTTCATGTAGTAGGCGAGCGCACAGCATCAGAGGGGTTGAGTGACTTATACAAGATCACAGACTGGATTGTAGATTCTGATGCCTTTTGCAGCACCCTACTGCAGTTTCTGAGCAGCCATGCTCTGGTATCCTTAGATGGAATACCTGTTCTGAGTACTTTTTTCTTTTCTTTTCTTTTTTTTGGTACCGGGGATTGAACTCGGGTCCTTGCGTTTGCAAGGCAGGCCACCGAACCACTGAGCTAAATCCCCGGCCCCAACTGAGTACTTATTTCTTAAGGGAAATGGTATACTTTATGTAACTACTCTGTCTCCAAGCCTGGCAAAATTAGAGGGAGAAGAGCACTATTAATTTATTGTTTGGTTATTGTTAGTATTGAATGAAAGATATCAGATATCAACATGGTATCATGATACTGAATGAAAAGCGAGGATAGGCAACATGATGCCACTTAGGAACAGTTTAGTAGATAATGATACTGTGTATTACCTGTGACTATATACATAATAAAAACAGGCAGTGCTTGGAGATATACACAGCAGCTTTAGGATTGTACTGGCCTCTGGGAGTCTGTGGAGGGAGCACAGGATAAATGACAAGAATGAGTGGGGCTTCAGCCATATCAAAAATTAAGAAAGCTGGAAATAAATACAGTTATGTTAAATGTATTGGAAGATACTGATTATTATCTTGTTTTTTTTTATATGTTCCAGCTCTTTTTATTAGTACATGTCTATAGTACGTAATGATTACATTCATTGTACATAATGTATCTTAATTCTTTTTATTTTCCTTTCCCTCTCCTCCCTCCCCCTTCCTTCTATCTCAATGTATATTTCAACTTTTTAAGATCCTGTTTTCAGTCCTTATGAGTATGTACCTAGGAGTAGAGTTACTAAATCAACACCTGTTTTTAGTGTTTTGTTATTGTTACTTTAGGACCTATGGGTATGAAGTGGTTGAAAAGTATCTTTAAAGGTGAAAATCTGGTGCATGCACTCCAGAGGCTAAGACAGGAGGATCAAGAGTCAAGACCAGTCAGGGGTATGTAGTAAGATTCAGTCTTAAAAAAACAAAGTAAAGAAAATCACTGTGGCCACTGTGATTCCTGAGGGTAATAATTATCTTTAGAAAAGTGACTAATAATTTTCCTTCCCATTGGGTACCTTGAATCTGTCTCCTAAGTGTCCTGGCAGACATAGCTTAGTTACCACTGGCTCTCTTGTCACTATAACACCTGGTCAGTCCATTTGTCAGGGTTTTAATCATATTGTCCTTTTCCCTTCCTTTATCTTTATTGGATTTACATGTTTTATATAATAAAATTAACATGAGGGCCAGGGATTTAGCTCAGCAGTTCAGTGGCCTACCTTGCTAGTGCAAGGACCCAAGTTCAATCCCCGGTACCAAAAAAAAAAAATTAACATGCATTCAAGTAGTTACAGCATGGAATTTAATTTATTTTTTGCCATACTGGGGATTGAACACAGGGCCTTTGCACTGGGCTACATCCCCAGCCACATTTTTTAAATTATTTTTTTTTATGAGACAGGATATAGCTAAGTCACTAAGTTGCCTAAGCTGGACTCTGCCTCAGCCTCCCAAAGTGCTGCAATTACAGGTGTGTACCATTGCACCCAGTTTAGCATGGATTTTTTAAAATGGTGCAACCAGGTGTTTCATGTGTATCTTTTTTTTTCCACCCTAGTACTGGGGATCGAACTCAGGAACATGCATATCTTTTGCCTGGTACCACATTTGGTGCTAGATGAGTGCATGAGAAGATGTTTGGTTCGCTGAGAAGAGCAGCAAGCTAGGTGTCGCCTCTTTCCTGTAAGAATGGGTAAACAAACAAGTCTCATCAGATTGCAGTCATCGCTGCTACCTCTCCCCAAAGCCTGGAGAGCTCCTGGCGTGAGGGGCATCCCTGTATCCTGAAACATCCATTTTCCAAACTGATGATCTTTTCACTCATTCTCCCTCTACCTAAACAGATTCTGCAGAGCCTGAAGAGGAAAGTGTTCTCTATTCCAACAGAGCAGCCTGTCACTTAAAGGATGGAAACTGCGCAGATTGCATCAAAGACTGTACCTCGTAAGTGCCCAAGGCAATTTTGGGATGCCCAAGGGACGTTGTGGAATAGATTAGGTTATCTGACTTTATTTCTTCTTTGGAAGAATCCTACCAGTTATATCTGGGGCAGGTATTAGGAAGTGTCACTAGACTACTGAGGAGAGGCTCTAATTGGTCCTTGTGGCCCCTGACTTTTTGTGTCTTTTGACATTGCAGCACTACTGTGGCTAAAAAGGAGTTAGGGCAGTTAGAGGCAGGTTTTCAAGGGTTTGTGAGACTTGGGACCTTATGTGATGTATAAGGAATGTTCAAAATGTGTGGTAAATATTTAAATTTTTAAAAGCATATTGCAGTAACATACACAGTTCAATTAATTCCCCTCAAAATACTCCCCCCTTCTTCAAACACACGTATCCCATTGTTCTCGCCACTTTGTTTTTTGTTGTTTTTTGGAGATAGGGTCTCACCATGCCTTTCAGGCTGCCTTGAACTCACTATGTTGCCCCCATTGGCCTGGAACTTGCAGATCCTCCTGCCTCAGCCTCTCAAGTGCTGGGATTACAGGAGTGCAACATCACATCCAGCTTTGCCACTGTCTAAAACTATATTGAAATTTCTCTTTGTGTTTTTATAAAGTGTGATCAAAAATATGTCGAATGCTGCTGAGTGCCATTCAGTGGAAAGGCAGGTTCATAAAAACATTATGGTAAGTTCTCAACTACCCTGTTCCCCAGATCTGGCACCATGTGACTTTGAGCTCGTCCCCAAAGTTAAAATGACCAGGGACGGTAAATGTTTTGATTCAGTTCAGGACATCAAGGTAGGCATTAACAGCACAACTGAAGACATTCACAAAAGAGAACTTCCAGAACTGCTTCAGAAAGTGGCCAGAACAATGGGATAAGTGTGTTCAAAGCAAGGGGGATTAATGATTATGCATCTTTTACTGTAAAGATTTATTTTAAAAATAAATATTCACTGTATTTTTATCATTGTAGAATTACAGACCCATGACTGACTTGTCTACCTGTTTTTCTGATATAGCTGAATGAGAGGAAAGAAGGAGGGATATATGTTAATAGGTTGTCTCTAAAAAAGAGGAAAGGAAATGGGTATCTATCACTGACCAGTTATAGAGGATATTGGACAACTTTTCATACCTCTTCTTCAGGCCAGTCTTATACTGCCTTTGTTCATTGTCGCTAAACTAGCACACAGGCCCTAACTGGATTCTCAAGCTTGATAGCTGTGGTATTCCTTTAAATTTATGCCCTGCTGTTAGACAAGAGTGGAGCTGGAAAGGGAGCATGCTTATACAATGTGATAGGTTTCCTTCTTTTGAGCGTTCACAACCACTCTGGGAGGTAAGTTTTTTCTCTTTCCCAGGCCAGAACTGAGTTCTCGAGGATGGGAGCTTGAAGTCACATGGTTAATGAGAGGTGGAATCCCAAAACCACCCTAGCTATCTCCAAATTCTGTTTGTTACTCTCACTGGGCCACAATGTAAAAACACATGGTAACATGAAAGATAGGAGGCTCTTGTTTGGCATTTTGAGGTATTTGTGTGTTTGTTGTTATTTAGTTCAGACAGGCCTTGAACTTACTTTGTAGCCCAGGTGTCCTTGAACTCTCAGGGATCCCCTTGCCTTAGCCTCCCAAGTGCTGCAGTTACAGGCATGTGCCACCACTCTTGGCTTTTCATTTTGGGAGGGATTGAAAATGTGACATTTGCACATGCACACAAATTTCTCAGTATTAGTGATTCTCGGCCCTCTTTCCCTCCTCACTTCAGTCTAAGTTGAAAAGCCCTATTCTGAGGTTTGGTATTTTTTAGCGGTATCTCTTGGCCAGAAATCATCTCCAATATATTAAGTACTATAGATGACCCTGTCTAGAAGAAACTGCAGGGGAGTTCTGGCGGTCCAGTAGGTAGATGACATTTTTCCCTTTTGTTCTAGAGCACTGGCCTTGGTTCCTTTCAGCATGAAGCCCCTGCTGCGGCGAGCCTCTGCTTTTGAGGCTCTGGAGAGGTACCCCCTGGCCTATGTCGACTATAAGACTGTGCTGCAGATTGACAGTAGTGTCATGTCGGCCCTGGAAGGTGTCAACAGGTGAGCCCAGTGAGTGGAAGAACTTCTTCATGGAAAGCCCATCTTCATTTCTTGGCTTTGAGCTATTGTGTTGTTTGCCTTATGGGAGCGATCCTTTTGGCTAGTCATAGAAAACTAATGAGCGTGTAGGAAAAGTATAGAGAGAGAATCTGCTGTTGTATTTCTCAGACTTTAAGGAGTCAAAATTACTAAGATTGATTTTTACCTAGATGTGTGAATTCATTTACACAGTAATATTTTGCTCTCTTTAACACATTGTGCTAGGTTCAGTTGGGGATACAAAATTTAAAAAAGATTTAGACCCCACTCTTCTACAAAGATCTAACTCATTGGGAGATTAAGGCACACACACAAGCAGCTAGGGCACAACCTATAGGAATGTGGTCAGGATATTGTACTGTGACCCTTCTGTGACATACCTCAAGTGAAACTTCTGGACTCCTGACCCGTGTGGATGGTTCTTTATTTCATATTTCCCCTCATTGTGTGAGCTGCTAGACAGCCAGACACCAAACTAATAGCAAATCTTTATCTTCATAATGTTTGGTTTCTTGCCTCACTTTTGACAACACCCTCTGTTTTCTCTTTGCTTCCTTTTAATTTCTGTCATTTAACAAAATCTACCAGTTATGTGCTACACTTTGTGCAAGGACATACTGGCTAAGGCTAACGACTGAGACAAACCACCTTCTGCTCTCAAGAGCTTCTGGTCTCCGAGAAAATACCAGCTGGTAATAAGGAACCTCAGTACCGGGTGTTAAGAGATATAATAGATGGCAGCATGAGGGCGCTTGGGACAGCTAGAAGGATAAGGGAAGTCAGAGAAGCCTTCTCAGGGGAGCTGAGCTAAAAGAGATCTGGGACAGGTGATTAGCAAGGACAAAGGTGAGGAGCATGATGTATTAGAGGATTACATACCTCATGGTTCGCGGGTAGGAAACTAAACATGGTCTTGGTTGTTGAGGCCAGGTTAAACAGGGCCTGGTCTTCAAGGGTTTGAACTTAAGACAGAGCAAATGAGGCATCAAAAAAGGTCTTTATCCATGGAGAAACATGAGCAGATTGTACTTTAGAGAGAAACTCATTGGATGCCATGTTCTGGGATGAGATGAAGGGAAACAAAGTACAAAGTGGGCATACAGCAGTTCAGGGGAAATAGTGAAGAAGGAACAGTGGGACAATTCACAGGACACAGGAAGGACATCAACAGCCTTGGGTGTGGGTGTAGGGTGGTAAAAGGAAAATATAAGAGGACATTGAGGAGCTGGGTGTGGTGGAGCACACCTATAATTCCAGCACTCAGGAGGCTGAGGCAAGAGGGTCACAGTAAGTTTGTGGCTAGCCTGAGCTACATAACAAGACCCTGTTTCAAAAAAATAAAACAAACCAACCAAAAACAAAAACAACAACAACAACAAAAAAGAGAACATCCAGGTTGTTGATGTATTCTGTTGTAGTTATCTCCAGGACATGAAATGAAGAAAATCAGGTATGGTGGCATGTACCTGTAATCTCAGCCCTCTGGGAGGCTGAAGCAGAAGGATCACAGGTTTGAGCAGAGTCTGGGAAACAGACCCTATGTTAAAATAAAAAATAAAGGGCTAAGAATGTAACTCATTGTGAAGGCCCTGGGTTCCATCCCTGTTCCTGGGGTGGAGGTAAGGAGGTATTTACATGGGTTTGGAGCAGAGCAGAAAAATGTAGGCTAGTCATAAATATTTAAGGGTCATTGGCACGGAGGTGGATTGAAGCTGTAGGAGAAAAGAATAGTTAAATGCGGATAGTCCGTGGAGAAAGGGTATAATTGTAGGAGAAATGTTCCTGGGTAAGGTCCCCGAGAGGCAAGAGGAAGTGGGATCTAGAGCTTAGGGGGAAGGGACGGCTCCTTTTGGCTCCTCTGTTGTGACAGGAGAGCAATAGGAAGGATTGAGTACCCAGAGAGGTAGGTTTGTATTTAAGTATGAGGAAGTGTGCTTTGAAAATAGAGAATGGTAGGGAATAGATTTAAGGAGCTTTGAAACAGCAGGGCTGACCAGGAGAACAGCTGAATTTGTAGTAAAATCAACGTGTGATTTTTTTTCATTCCTATAACATGAAAACATGTTTTTAGAAGCAGAAAACGTTTAGAATTGGCTTTATTCAGTCATTCAGCACATTCTGATTTGGCCTTGGTAGATCCCAATGGGCTCAGTGCTAGAGATCAGTTAACAAAATGGACATGGTCACAGAGCAGCATGGTAAGCCTAGAGCTAAACAATAAGTAGGAGGTAGCTGGATCTAGAAGATCCAAAAGGAAAGTAAAAGAATGTTTTCCAGATAGAGAAATATGAACATGAGAATCAGAAGAGAATGTGGAACACAATAAAATTAGAAGGAGGGGTCTAGACTTCACATGTTAGCCTAAGGAAATTAGAACCACCAAGAGATTTTAAGGTTTGAGACTGATTTAAACCTGGCATTTTCAAAAGAAATATAGCCAGTGCTGTGGCATACACCTTTAATCCCAGTACTTGGGAGATGGAGGCAGGAAAATCATAAGTTTGTGTCCTACCTGGGCAATTTAGGAAACTCTGTCTAAAAACATTTTTGAAGAGTCTGGGGATATAGCTCAGTGTAAAGGTCCTGAGTTCAAGCCTCAGTTCCAAAAAAAAAAAAAAAAAGCATTAATCAAACATACAGGGCTTGCGTGCCTCTGTACTAGATTTATTGAGAAAATGTAGAACATTGAAAACACAGTGTCTTCTTGGAGACTATGTAGTCTTCTGGGGTCAAGGTTAATGTGTCCTTAGCAGATTAGCACTTTATAAAAATTAACACAGTTATGACCAGGCTGAAGACACAGAGCATTATGGTAGCTGATCCAAATAGGCATCTATGGGGGCAGACTTGTGTTCCTCTGTTGCAGCATGTTATAGGCTACAAACAGATGTTCAAACCAGAGGAGGATGATAACTGTGACTCTTCTGAAAGGGCAAACATCCCTTCTCTTCCAGAATGACTAGAGTTCTCATGGACTCACTTGGGCCTGAATGGCGACTGAAGCTGCCTGCTATCCCCGTGGTGCCTGTCTCAGCCCAGAAGAAGTGGAATTCCTCGCCTTCAGAGAACCACAGAGAGACAGCTAAAAGCAAGTCCAAAGAAACTGCAGCTACAAAGAGCAGAGGTAAACTGATTCTCTGTCCAGAGAGTTTTCCAGTTCTTTAGTCCTATAAAAATTGGCCTCATTTAGCTGAGTTATAATCTTACAAATGAAATTTTAAAATGGGGGGAAAAATCTTCAACTTTTTAGAGATTGTTTCCTCGGCTATACAGTGGGATGATGATAAAACCTACCTTATAGCTGTAACAATTGAACAGTAGAGGGTATATAAAACTCCAGTCAGGTGCATAAGAATATGGTGTTAGTTCCTATTCCTCTGGCAGCATTTTGAATGTATCACTAAGGATTTTTTTTTTTTTTTTTTTTTTTTGGAAGAACAAAAATCGTGATAGAATGGTAAAGAGAGTTTATTGGTTCATATAAGTAAAAAATCCAAAGAATTCAGGCAACATGTGCCCCTGCCATTCATTACATTATCAGATAGACTGACTCTAGTTTTCAGTAATTCTCTACTTTCCTTGGTTGGTTGTGTCAACTTTGTCTTCAGGCAGGCTCTTACAGTAGTAAAAGAGCTAGAGCAGTTCCTGGCCTATAGCTGTGGACCACGCCTCATGATCCAGAAGAAGGAAGAGAGAAAATTTTTTCTCTTTCCCTTCACAAAAACTGTAGCTTATATATTTTATCAGTCTCTTCTGGTCTGATTGGTCACAGGCCACCAAATCAGGGAATGAGACATTCCTTCTTCCCTTCCCTGGAACTAGGGATTGAACCCAGAGTCTTTGCACTAAGCTATAATCCCCTATGCTTTTAAATTTTTTATTTAGAGACAAGGTCTGCTAAGTGCCCAGGTGTGCCTTGAACTTGCAGTCCTCCTTTTTCAGCCTACCAGAGTGCAGGGATTACATGCATGTACTACCACATTCAGCACTGGGGATAAGCTTTTGTGACTAACTCAGCACTGGGCCCTCTGCCTCACTTGTATAACTAGAAGGACATGCTTTCCCATGAACACATTCCCTGTGTGAATCCCTGGGAGATTAGTAAGAAAAAGATCAAATCTGGGCAGCAGGAGACTTCACTGGGAAGCTATTAGAACGTTACAAGGGAAGTGTTTCCTCCTGGCAAGCTCTAGGGGTTGAGGTTACAGAGATGCAGAGAGGATCAGGGCTGGAACTTTACTGTGTGTAAGAAACCCTTAGGTACTAGGGGAGGGCAGAAGTTACTCTTCTTTCTAGGAGGACCTCCTATCTGACCATGGGTAGCACTCACTCTGGTTTATGGGAACCTGGTCAGTATTCCCCACCCTTCCCTAGAATAAAAATGTGGGGTGCTGATAAACTAGAGGGCTTCACAATACCTACCACTTATTTTGTTCTTTACATGCACTAAGCCATGTTTGTTTTCATGTGACATAGAAGACAGAGCTATCCTTGGCCCCCAGGAAGCTTTTGCTCTAATGAGGGAGTAAAACATGGAAACAACACTTTAAAATAGGAGGGGGAACACATGCTATAGTCTTAGTGTTCAGAAAGTTCAAGTTAGGAGTGGGCTCAAGTGTATTTGGGGGAGTTAAGGTTGTCAGAGGAGAGGTGATGGAGGTGATGGCTTGAACTAGATCCTAATACTGAGGTCATCAGGTAGGAAAGGGGCAGAATTTTGACAGAAACATGTATGGAGCAGGAGGAAGAAAGGCCACAGGGTAAACAGGGAGTTGCATACATTGCAGCCCCTTCTAGAGAAGCTCACGTGCATGCACACAAGGAGACATGTTTGTAATAGCAAAACAGTTACATACGTTGATACAGATGAATCTCAGTAATATAATGATAGGGGAGAAAAAAGTCATAAAAGAATATATAGACTTACTTACCCACTACATGAATTTTAAAAACAAGACAACAGTTTGGTGTAGTGGCCACACACCTATAATCCCAGCACTTGGTAGGCTGAGGCAGGATTGCCAAGAGTTTGAGGCCAGCCTGGGCTACATAGTGAGTTCCAGGCCAATCTGAACTACATAGCAAGTCCCTGTCTCAAAAAACCAAAAAAACAAACAAAAAAACAGATGATTTATAGGTACTATTGTACATAATTATATATTGTTTTTAACTCTTTTTTTGTACTGGGGATCGAACTCGGGACCTTGAGCTAGTGAGGCAGGTGGTAGAACCACTGGGCTAAATCCCTGGCAATATGTATTGATTTTAAAGCACGAGGAAAAGCCCAGAATCAGGGATAATAATTTTTACAAGATTGGATTGAGTTGGAAAGGATCCATCAGGACTTCAAAGGCTCTGTGCTATTTCTTAAACATGAGAATCAGTTCAGGGCTTGCTTTTATTCTTGTAACATTATCCTTGTTAGAAATATTCAGTATTTTTTAAAGATAAACCGAGGCTTGAACAGTGCCTGGGGCCAAGCAGCAAAAGGCCTTAAACACAAATGTGAGCAGATTAGTTTTACCTTGTCTCCTTGAAAGATGGAGCAGAGAATCACGTGTCATGTTGAGGAGGATACTCAGGCACAGACTAAAATGGGATGAGCAGGCTCGTCTGCCCTTTTTCAAAAGCCCTGAAGCTATAGCCTTCCTTATTAGATGCTTGTTTGTTAATACTTATTCTCCTGCTCTAAGTTTACTGTACTTTCTCTTGTATTCTTAGGTCTGATCCTGACAAAAACCCTTTTGTGGAATAGTTGTTGTCCCATCAAATTAATGAGGAAATTAAGGTCCAAAAATGACTCAAACCTGGGTTGCTTTTTATTATGTGTGTATTTATTAAGATGTTGGAGTCCCCAACATCTTCTGAATGAAAATTGTTTATTTTCCCAGAAGCCATTAATTGGGGAAATTATTGATCAGGAAGGATGATTTGCAAAAGCGTAGTCAGTCATGGGGGTGGGGTGGGGTGGGGGTTGTAGGTAACAGAAGAGATGAGGCTGAAGAGATCTTACTGATCTCATTTGGGCACCTGCTCCATGGTTTTTTTCCCTCTTCTGAATTTGTATCTAGTGCCTTCTGCTGGGAATGTGGAGAAAGCCAGAGTTCTGAAGGAAGAAGGCAATGAGCTTGTAAAGAAGGGCAACCATAAGAAAGCTATTGAGAAGTACAGTGAAAGCCTCTTGTTTAGTAACCTGGAATCTGCCACGTACAGCAACAGGTATCTTATACAAAGCTGCTGGCCTGGGGATTTCAGAAAGCTGGATGTTTTGTTCTATAGTCTTCTCTCCAACTGTGGTGGGTGTTTCAATCCCTAGCAGTTAAGTCAAATGCTCAAAATAGGCATTCACATGTTTCAGGTACTGTGAGCCAGGTAATGCCAGTGATTGCTTTCTTAAAGGGGTAGAAAATAAAGGATGCCAAAGGGTAACCTGGGATGTCTTCGTCTTCCTCCCCAGAATTTTCATTAGTCACCCCATAAAGCATATGTAAAATCATTGTGCTTGCTGCATAAACATAACCATAAAAGCACCCTTTACCTCACCATCTTCCTCCTGCTCCCTACCCCATGGCTTCTCTAAGACTCTCCTGTTAGAAATATTGGCAGTCTTTATCTGAGAAAACTGGCCCACAACCCCAAGAGTGAAATAACTGTTCCTTGGCTTGGGAACCGCAGGGAGGGGTGCAGTTTAGAGATTAGACTTGGGGGGTCTGTGGAAGACTCTGTGCCCGGAGATCACATCAGTGACCACTGATATTGCACTGTCACTTTATTGTGTAGGACTCACTGCTCTCTGTAGCAATGCTAGGAGGTATAGGTGGCAGGTCTTCTATTTTAACATTGAAAAAAACCAAGGCTCAGAGAAGGAAGGACTCTGCCTAAACTCACCAAACCAAATAGTGGTTCCAGATTTGGAGTCTGACTCTTAATTAGATCTGTTAGTTTTACTGTCAGAAGCTGGATACAGCCAACAAGGTACCATCTCTGATCCAGACGTTTATTGTAAACATTCAAAAAAAAAAGAAAAAATTTATTTATAAAAATAAGTCTGGGCCAGGGATTTAGCTCAGTGGTTCCTCCTCCTGCCTTGCAAGTGCAAGATCCCAAGTGCAATCACCAGTACCTTTTCTACCACCATGCACATGTCACTAAAGTTTTGAGCTAGTGTAGGTTCACTGTTCCTTAGTCAAAACTCATTAAGATAATACGTACCACTTTTTAATTAAACACTCTAGCAGGGTCTGAGACAGCTTACTAAAATTAACTCATGGAAAACCAAATGTGGTGGTGCACACCTATAATCCCAGCACTTGGGAGGCTGAGGCAGGAAGATTGCTGTGAGTTTAAGGCCAGCCTGGGCTACATAGTGGTTCAAGGCCAGCCTAAACTATAGAGTGAGATCCCATCTTGAAACAAAACAAAAAATAAATAAAATTAACTCATGGAAATTCTGTAGTACATAGGGTGTTAGGAAGATAGTCTCAGGTCTGGTTTTGTTTCTAAAAAAGGCAAGCACCAGCTCGCCCCCGCACCCTTGCTTACTTTTTGTGCACTGGAAAGTTGACGATGTAGCACCACTCAATACCCAACACTTACAACTTGCCAGACCCAGAATGAACCTTCTTTTTGGGGGTTTTTTGTTTTTGTTTTTGTTTTTTTTTGGTGGGGGGTTGAGACTAACCTGGAACTCACTATGTAGCCCAGGCTCAAACTCACAGCAACCCTGCCTCAGCCTCCCAAGTGCTGGGATTACAGGCGTGCGCCACCATGCCCAGCTGAGCCTTCTATCTAACAGTCTTCCAAGTTAGACCATAGGTCCATTCTACCCAAACAGGCTGAGAAGATGAAAAGATGAATTGATGAGTACAAGCCATTTTTTAATTTTATTTTATTTATTTATTTTTTCTTTCTGGTTCTGGGTATTAGATCCAGGGCCTTATGAATGCTAAGTACAGGTGTGATCGAAAATTATTACTAAAAAACATTTCCATTAAACCCCCATTTAGCAAACTGTTTTTGGAAGCAGTTCTGGAAGTCCCTTTTTGTCTCTTTAGTAGTTGTGCTATTTAGACTCTTTGGTGTCTGAAATCAACTTAAACGTTCATCTTGCACAGTCATTTTGACCATAGGGAGAAGCCAAAAGTCACACAGTACCAAATCTAGTGAATAAGGTGGATGAGGACACACTGTTATTACACTGCCTTCCCACTGGATAACACTTTGTAGTGGTCACTGTATTTTTGATCACTAAACTGCCTCAGAAAGCAAGAGGGATAAATGTATGGAGGGTTTGAGATTAATGACCTTGTGTCTTTTACTATAATAAAATATTTAAATATTCACTGTTTATTTTGATCACCCTTTATACCTGCTCTGCCACTTACATGAGGGGGAGAAAATTCCACAGACATTATTAAGGAAAAATTGCATAAAACCTTATGTAAATATGTTCAACTTTATCAATAAAGCAACTATTTTGGGTGTGTGGGGTACCAGGAATTGACCTCAGGATTTTGAACTTGCCAGGCAGGTGGGGTACCACTGAACTACATCCCTGGCCCAAAACTAAACTTTAAAAGTAAATCAGTTGCAACCAGAATTCTGTAACCAGAATCATGGAAAACATGAAGTTCGTAACTGAACTGTATGTACTGTTTTCCTCCATATTGGCAGAAATTAAAATTTGAGACCTAGATTTGGTATAGTTTTAGGAAATAAATTGTCAATTACTGTTTTGTTTTGGGGCGTTTTTTGGTTTTTGGTTTTTGGTTTTGGTATCTAATTTGGGACCTTGTGCTTGCAAGACAGGCAGCAACACCACTGAGCTAATCCTCGGCCCTGTCAATTACTGTTTTTGAGAGTGCTTTTTTTGGAGAATATTTGGGCAATAACAAACAATTTAAAATATATATACCTTGGGGCCGGGGATTTAGCTCAGCAGTTCGGTGGCCTGCCTTGCAAGCGCAAGGACCTGAGTTCGATCCACGGTACCAA